ATCCCGAGACCCGGGCCGCTCCGCCGGTCCCGCTGCCCGCCGAGCATACCGAGAGCCGGGCCGCTCCGCTGGTCCCACTCCCCGCCGAGAATCCTGCGAGACGGGCCGCTCTGATGGTCCTGCTGCCCACTGAGCATCCTGCGAGACGGGCCGCTCCGCCGGTCCCGTTCCCTGCCGAGAATCCTGGGAGCCAGGACGTTCCGCCGGTCCCATTCCCTGCCGAGCATCCTGGGAGCTCCACCTCTCTGCAGCTCCTTCTCCATCTCCCTCAGGCTGTGGTGTGCTGGAGGGGGTGGCAGCAGATGCCAGCTGCCCCAGAACGTGGACAGCTATGGGGTTCTGCCCCACAGCTGGCTTAGCACTCAGGAAGGGCACCTCCAGGGGGTGCCCCATCCCTTCGCGAAGAGCAGAGGGTCCTAGTGCCCATTCCGGGCAAGATCTCACTTCTGGCTGGGCAGCAGGCGCTGGGAACACAGCACCATCTCCGCTCCTCCATGCCACTGCACCTGGTAGCAGCCCAACGCCAGGACGTGCTATGCACACCCCATCGCCCTGCAGGAATAAGGGGAGGAGTGTGCCGATGAAGGGGCATTGCCTGCAATATCCTGGAATAACATTAAGTATTGCCAGAGCTCGCTGCATTAAAAACACAAACGTTTGTGCGTCACCACGAGATCGTCTGTGATTTCGCTGGGAGACGCACCTGATGGCAACCCTGGGAAATGCTACAAGCTTCAAGGCGCTCTCCAAACCAACGGGCCAGCCAACCCCAGCTTGGGGGTGCCTAGGAGACGCTTAGGTAGTGGGGAAGGCACCCTCCAGCGCAGCCCGAGGGGAAACCCGCTGTCGGCTGCTCACCTGCGACAGGAAGCCCAGCCCAGGGGCCCAAGCTGGACAAGGGAGGGACTCACAGACTGATGGGGTTGCTTATGTGGAGCTAAGAGTTGCTACAGATTCCTAGATCCCAAGGCCAGAAGGGACCGTAGTGATCACCTAGTCTGGCCCTCTGTGTAACACAACCCGAGACCTGCACCAAAGTATTCCTTGAGCTGCCTGGCAACAGGGGAATTTTCTGTCATATTTTTATGACGATGTGTGCCTCAGTTTCCCCTATATGATGCATTGTTACCCGGTGGGGGGATGGGACGAAATGGGAACATTCTTAATGTTTTCTCTGAATACTGTGTGTCTCAGCTTCCCCTTTATTGGGGTGGGCAAACTACAGCCCGTGGGCCACAACCAGCCTGTTACACCTTTTAATCCGGCCCTTGAGCTCCCACCAGGGAGCAGGAGCTTGCCCTGCTCTGCGCATGTCCCCCCAGGGGGCTCCGCATGCTTCCCCCGCCCCAAGCGCCGGCTCTGCAGCTCCCATTGGCCGCAAGGGAGGCACCTGCAGATGGGACAGCATACAGAGCTACCTGGCTGGCGCTGCGCCTCCGCGTAGGAGCCGGAGAAGGGACATGCCGCTGCTTCCGGGAGCTGGTTGAGGTAAGCACCACCCGGAGCCTGCACCCCATACCACCTCCCGTGCCCCAGCCCCCTGCCCCTGCCCTGATCCCCCTCCCGCCCTCCGAACCCCTCAGTCCCAGCCCAGAACCCTCTCCTACACCCCAAACCGCTCATCCCCAGCCCAGAGCCTCCTCCCATACTCCAAACCCCTCTGCTCCACCCCCAGCCCCCTCCTGCACCCCAAGCCCTTCATCCCTGGCCCCACCCCAGAGCCCACACCTCCAACCAGAGCCCTCCCCCACGTCCGCATCCCAACCCCCTGCCCCAGCCTGGGGCCCCCTCTCACAACCTGAACTCCTCATTTCTGGGCCCACCCCAGAGCCCACACCCTCAACCGGACCCCTCGCCCCCTCCCACACCCCAACCCCAATTTCATGAGCATTCATGGCCCGCCCTACAATTTTCATACCCAGATGTGGCCCTTAGGCCAAAATGTTTGCCCACTCCTGCCCTATATACTACTCAGGTATCTAGGTGGTGGGATAAGGGGGTGTGATCGTTGCAAAGACCCCTAGAGGGCAGGTGTGACTGCTGGTGGGCTGCACCCTGTATCCAGGCAACTGATGGCCAGTTCCCCTTCTCTGCAAGAACCAGCCTGAGGTGCTGGTGCAAGACCAGGGGACCTGCTGGCCCAGGAAAGAGACAAAGGAAGGAGAGGGGGCAATGGGCAGCTGAAAGGGTCAGTCTCCTGGTTTGGGACTGGGGGTGGGGCGGTAGAGCCTAGGGCTCTGCCCCCCCCCCCCCCGATGGACTCTATTGAAACAACATTCCTGATTTCTGTGCTAACAAGATCTGTCCTACGCTGTGTTCCCGATGACGAATAAACCTCCTGTGTCACACGCTGGCTGAGTCCCTGTGACTGCGGAGTGGGGTGCAGGGCCCTTTGGGGGGGGGTGAGGGTCCCCAGATGTCCCTTCCAGGTGGACTCACAGCAGGGAGCTCACAGGGTAAACAGGGGGCTGAACGCTCGGAGGTCGGCTCCAGGAAGTGCCGAAGCTGAAGATGCTTCTTGCTCTGGTGGAAGGGCCCCTGCAGAGAGACTTGTTACACCAGAGTCTGGGCTGACCCTCATACAGATCAGCTCCAGAGCAACCAAACTGTGACTCCATGACAGCGGAAAAGGCTTATTTGCTCTCAGGGTAGGCTGGGAGAGGAGACAAAGGTATGAAGGGAGTCCGGATCCTTCAAAAGGACTGGCCAAGGCAGGCCCTGTATCAATGGAAAAGCCTAGAAAACAATGGCAAGCCGTCAGCAGGACGCGGCTGCGCCCCAGAACGGGATTTCCCCACCTCTCCACAGGGAGCAGAGCAGAGACCCAGCTGGAGAACAGAGGACAGGGAAAGTGCGAGGTGGGGGAAATAAAGCTGCTGGAAGGGTCTGGGGGCTCTCCCTGGGACCTGACCAAGTCGGTTGGATGTTCAAACAGACAGGCTTGGAATGTGGGGTTCATTACAATGTGGCTGGGCTTAGGGTTTGTCATGGAGTCACCAGGTGATGCTCTGGAACTACTCCCTACGAAGCCAGTCAGGACTCTGGGGGAGCCTCCTCTCTCAGAGCAGACTGTCTCCAGGGCAAGAAGTTTACACAGCTTCCACCTTCCTGGGTCTGACCTCGGAGCATTCAGCATCCCCTTCCACACCGTGCACTTCCCACAGCGAGTCCACCTGGGCGGGGCTCCTGCAGCAGCCAGAGGGTCTTGCACCCCAACTTCAGTCAGATGTGACTCTCAGCCAGCCGGTAAAACAGGTTTATTAGTCGATAGCAACACAGCGTAGAACAGAATTTGTTAGCACAGAAATCCATGATTTTCAGCCAAGTCCATCTTGGGGGAAGGGGAGCCCAGAGTCAGGGCTCTGGTCGGTCCCCCCGTGCCCCAAGCCAGCCCAGATGAGAGGGACTTCCAGCTGCCTGGCCCCTGCCCTGCCCATTGCTCCTCCTCCGGCCTTTGTCTCGCTTCCCGGGCCAAGAGTCACCTGGTCGTATCCCCCTCCTGGGTCTCAAGTTACGAAGGGGAGGCCATAGCATTCCTGCAGGCAGCTAGATCAGCCCCCACAAAAGTCACACACCCTTATTCCCACCATCTAGACACTGGTGCAATACACAGGGAAACCGAGGCGCACACAGCATTCATGCAAAACAGTAAGACTCTCATACAACATAACAAGGGAAAATTCCCACTTTGTCACAGGCTTGGCCTGGCTATGTTTGAACCCTAAGTTCTCTGCGCCAGCCTAAGGCCTTCCTAGGCTGCAGCTGACCCTGACGAAAGAGCGAGCCGCTGGGTGTATGGGGCATCGCAGGGGCTCCTCCCAGGGACAGTTCTAATGTGGGAGCCCCGATCCTATGCACCCATGACAAGCAGGTCTTTAAAAAAACCTCCCACCTTGTTCTACAAGTTGTTGGTGACAGCAAATGCCCCCGCTCCTTGAGAAATCCTTCCAATGGTTACTTACTCTCACCGTATGCCTCATTTCCAGGCTGCCCTGGACTAGCTTCATGTTCCAGCCCTTGCGTGGTGGCAGAGCCCAGGATGTCACATTCCTCACCCACGTAGACACTCACAGACTGGGATAAGTCACCCCTTCACCTTCCCTTCGTTAAGCTATAGACTCAGGCTGCGGCTATGCTACAAAATGACGTTGATCTAACTTACGTTGGCACATGGCTGCTGCAGTTACTGAACAGCGACTGTGTGCCCACGTAAGCTGGCTGCCTTACATCGCCCAGGGCTTAGGGATGACACTTCCGTGGCTAGGTCGACCCAACGCAGCCTATGTCGACCTAACTGAGTAGTGCAGACCAGGCTTCCATCTGTCGTTCTCAGGCGGCTTTTCTAACCCTTGAACCCTTCTCTGGTCCCCCTCCAATTTATCCTCATCCTTGAGCGGTGGGCACAGAAGTGGATGGCGAGGTCCGGCGGGCTACAGGCTGGACAGCGCTGTGGCAGGGCGAGTGCTGGGTGCTCTGAGTGGGGGGTTACACAGAGACAGTAGGGTGACCTATGATGAAGCGGGGGGATTTTCTTAGTGTCTTGCATGAATGCTGTCTGTGGCTCAGTTCCTCTGTGTGCTGCGTGTTTAATGAGGTGGTGGGAGGGAGTTTGTTGCTGGAGAGGAGCGGGTGTTACCTCGCCTGGCAGTCAGGACCCCGACAACTGCCTGGAGATTGGGTACCCTAGTGACTGGTAGGTCCCCCCAGCTTGGCAGTCAGACGATTCTGGCCTGTGGAAGGACAAGGGGCTGAGGAGAGAGGACCCCTGTGGCTGGGTTCCAGCCAGGGGGCTGCTGGGCTGGGGACAAAGAGCAGCCTGAGCCCAGCAGGACTGAGACTGGCCAGGCTCAAGAGCCCTGAGAACTGCCTGTGCTGGATTCAGATGCTCAATAAACCTTCCTGTGTTACGTTGGCTGGGAGTCACTGCAGGGTAGAGATCGAGGTTGCATTGCTCTCTCTGGGTGTGGAGGCCCCGGGGTCCATG